ATTGATTTAGAGATGGAGAAGAAGTGGAAGCTAGATTTTGTGTCTACTGTTGAGGGTTCGGGCAAAAGGGCCACAGCGGTTGATTCTAGAAGGAAGGGCCAGCAGGGCTGAGGCTGCTGTGACATGTTTCACGAGGGGACGTGTAGGGTGGGTGGTTCTGGCTACTTCAAGTGTGTCCAGACTAGTCATATCAGCAGGGATTGTACTGCTACTACCACCACCACCCTGGTATTTGATCTAATTTTCTTTCAGTGCAATTAGAGGGGACACAAGAAGGCCTATTGTCTGAGTTTAGCTGCCGTAGGACCGGTGTCAGCACCCACTCCTAGGACTCTGTGACAACCCGAAGTTCGTTTCATTCTTTGTAACCCGTTTTCGTTAACAAAGTCGTTAAGTTCCAAAATTTGCCGTTAACTTTGTTTTAATTAAATTATTGCGACTTTTATTAATGTTTTATTAATGTTAGAATACATTTTAAAGACATTAAAATATTTTCTATTTCATTTAGAAAATATTTAGTTTTATTTAAGTCGTAATTACGGCAACTTTATCGGGTGGGACCAAAAGCACCGTCTAACGGCAGTATCGGCTAGAATTCCACCGTGTCCCCAACTTTCAGCATATATAAAGTTGAGAGAGCCTCATTTGAAGCTTTTTCCACTCTCTCTCTAGTCTCTCTCTAAAATCCGATTTTGAGCCAAAAACACCCAAATCAAGCTTCAACACATCAAGGTAATTATCCTAGCTTCTAGTTTAACATCTTTGGCCTTCAAATTCGGAATTTTTATGAGGAAGGAGACCATAAACAAGTGTTTATGGTCTAGGAACCTCCTTATGCCGTGAACACCTCATATGAGGGTTTTGAAGCCTCAAAACCCCTCCAAAACACTTATAGGGCTTAGATTCGACTTAGAAACTTGCATGCATGGACTAAGGACCCCAAAATAATGACATATGATGTATGGACATGAGTTTATGGCCCAAGCATGTTCTTGGACCGTAAACCCTCATTCTGGACCATAAACTCATGTTAATGAGTCAAAATGCCCTTAAAAACCTTCAAAATGCTTCCATGGGAGTGTAGAACCTCATAAACCTTCATGTGATGCACCAAGACATCCTCAAATGCATCAAACTTGAGTTTACAACCCAAGAACATTCTCCGGAGCATAAAACCACCTCCTTAGACCGTAAACACCCAACAAAGGGAGTTAAGGTGCCTTTAATCCCTTGAAAAGCTTGGTTTTGGATCTAGAATCACATGTGATTGAATTACAACCATCAAAGCCCTTAATTCATGGACAAACATGAGTTTACGGTTGTAAACTCATGAGTTTAAGGTATTAAACTCCCCAAGAACATCTCCTTAGACCTTAAACTCATTTCCAAGACCATTTCAAGTCCCGATCACTTCCTAAGCCATGAAATCGACCCTAGAACCTTCCCGTGTGCATTGTATGACCATTTGGCATCCAAGAACCCACCACCCATGATTTTACGGCCATAAAATCATGGGGATATGGTCAATGGGCCGTAAACTCCTTAAGGAGTTTACTCTTGAAGAGTAAACTCCATATTTAGGCCTTACACACCCTTAGATGCTACCCGGA